AACTAGAATAGAAACAGGGAAATATTTAGTGGCCCTGGAGACCAAACTGCTTTTCTGCTTTGTGAATATATCAAAATTTATGAAAGGGTAGCAGATGTTACCGTCCACAATATCTCATGGGATTAATCTGCCTATGTCTTATATTTCTGTTTCAGCTCATGAGTATACAATTGAACCTTGTACTGTGGTATTTCTAGAGACACATTCCGCCGAGACAATAAATAACATGCAGTATTTTTTTTTTAGATAAAATTAATTCTCAGGTTTAAACTTCCCAGCAAAGTTTACAGATTGCACTGTACTAAAAAGATATTTCAAAAACACTGATAGAGTCAGTAAACAGACACAGCAGACTAAAGCAGTATGGGTTGCTCTTCTAACTACGAGTCATGGCAAGACTCAAACCATTTTAATATTTAGCTATCCACCTGCCAGCATTTCGGATCATGAGATGACAATATGAAAAATAAGTATGCTGGAGCTCAGTTAGGAAGAATTCAAACTAACTGCAGTTTTTCCACTGGCTTGGCTGGGAGCAGACTTTAGCCCTTGGTGAGGAAGTTTTATTTCTGGGAACTATCTGAAGGAAACTGCCAGCTTGGTGTGACTTTTAAGCAGACATTTCCCTCTAAAATTCTGCCTGTTGTGAAACAAAAGTGAAATACTTTCTTATTGAGCTATAAGGAAAAAATGGAAAGTTCCAGACCAGATGCAAACTTATGGGTAAGTCCAATGACCTACCCCTCAATTATCAGTACCAGATGCTTCAAGGAAACGATGAAAAAACACTATAATGGAAAATTATTCATAATTTCTTAAATGATAAATACCTTCCTCATACCTAATCCAATGATTCTCAACTATTTTAGATTCCATAAGGATTCAGAGTTTAGCAGCACCCCACTTCAAAAACTAATATAAACAGATTATGAATATTACAATTGTAAATATTGCATTATATCATTAAATTACATTATATTTATATATAATATAAATATTGTAATAAGACAATAGCATTCTTTGCTTCAGGCTGTTTCCCTGGCTCTGCCTGCCCCCGTATACATTTAATGCCAATGTGACTCCTGGATGCATCACACACTGGTCCAGGTTCCAGCTGGGAAGCAAGAACTAGTGGGCCATTTTCTGTCCTTAGTTATCCCAGGGCAATCCCCCCTGAACTCGAGTCTGAGGGCCAAAGTAGACAGGGCCTGGAGATGCCTGACTAGCAGGGATGACTTGCTGGGCTGCACACATGGAATATGGAAGATGCTGAGGGGGCTCAAGGGCAAGGGGATACACAGGGATCAGTTGCCATTAGCACCTTTACAAAGAACTCATGGCATCCCAAGTAAGAATCACTGCTGCAGTGGCTGTCGTATGTCTCAAATCGTACAGATTTTTAATATATTATATAAAATTCTATGCAATGCAACTACTCATATTAATGTCTAAAACATTCTTGAATACTGCAAAAAAAAAAATCTTACAATAGAAACCCATGGCAACTTACTAATTATATAGGAAAAACAATGCATTTCTCTTTCATATTACATTTGCAGCACCATATACTTCATAGTCCGGTGTTCTCTGCACTGCAAGGGCACGCTGCCCGAGCACATGATGCTCCAGTTTTTTTTTCCCCCCCGTGGTTTTTTTTGATCCTTGGATATCTAGGGGTTAGAAAGAAAAAAAAAAACAGGGGAAAAAAACCAAACAGTGCATACTCAGGCAGCATGCATTTCTAAAAAGCAGAGCTGGGCCACTAGGAACTGCGCTGTCGCTGCTGCCATGGCTGCAGCCCCAGAAGGCCCCCAGGACCCCAGGTAAGGCTGCTGGGGCCAGCACAGTGCTGGCCCCACCCTCCCCTACTTCCCCCGGGGTAACTTGCCACGCACCAAAGCACACGTAGCACAAGTGTTCCCTGGGGACAAGTAGCTGTGGCACAAAGTGCACCACTGCTACTTGTCCCCGGGAAACCAAATGGCCACGCACATCTAGACACGCCTCCAGTGGTCAAACAGTTATATTGTTTGATATCATGGAACTTTTCAAAACATCCTTAAAAAGCTTTGAAAGACAACCACACTTCCTGCTAAGCTCTAGCTCTACAGCAGTTGACTGTGGGAAAATACGGCTTTCTCCAGATTGAGTCAACTGCCCGTTGTTGGTTTTACTGAGGCTAGAGTTATATCTACTCTGTGTTGATCTGGCTCTCCAACAATTAAACATGTCTTCCTTCCAGGTGAGTGCAAAACCAAATTGACCAGCAGCATATGACCATTCCATGAAGCTCTAAGCAGCTACTTCCTTCATGCTTTTGTTTTCAACTGGATGAGTAACAAGGGCCTATAAAATATGGTTCAGGTCATGGATGCAGGATATTTTTAGGAAACATTTTAAAGCCTGTTTCCCATTTGGGATGAGCAAAGCGATCCTAAAAAAGCATTACTCAGTTTCCCAGAAGAGCACTGGAGGCTGTTGCTGCCTCAAGATTCAGTATCCCAAGACTGGGCCCCAGAGACAGTTGCATAATTATAATTGCTAGTAACATAGTGCCTGTGGCTTCATTATACATCCATTCTCACCATGTAACTTGACACCCACATAAGCATATTGCAGTGATTGTGGTTTGCAGCATACCACCTCCACTCTCTCTTCCCTTCAATCTGAGAAGGCATTGTCAAATCACTAATAAATACTAGTCCTAAAACAAAATAGACAGAGGCACATAATGCTAACCATTTCAAATGCTGAAAATTGACTACTTTCCCATTCTCTGGGGAGTGGAAGGGTTTGTCTGTAGCCAGCCTTTTACTGTCAGGCCACCACTTCTGGTCTTAATAGCCTGTTATGAGGGTCCTTTGTCAAAGGCATTTTAAAAGCCAAAGTGCAAGTTGGCTGGTCCTTGATTAGTTTCCAGCAGTGATGCCCAAAGGGTGTGCCGCAGCACGAGTGTGCCAATGAACACAACAGAACTGTGCTGTGAAACCCCTGTGTTAGGAACTAAATGCCCTCCTCCGCCCTGTTCGGCATGCGGGCCTGCCCCACCTATTCCACCCTGCCCTGCCCATCCCACCCACAGGTCACGCTTCTCCGCCCTGCCCCACCCCACCCATGGGTTACCCCTCAGGGGTCACCCCTCCCCCCCTTCCCCTGGCAGGCCCTCAATCTCCCACTAACCCTCCCATCCTGACGTATGTGATATCAGGCAGCCATTTTGAATTTATTTAGCCTCCCCCTAACACCCCTGAATGCCTATACTTAGCCTTTATACGCAGGTTTTTCCAATGATTTTATGTTATTTATTTAAAATTAATCAAAAGCACTTTTTTAAGCACTTCCTATTAAATTTTAAAAGGTTTTGTCCTTTATTTAGATAGTCCTAGTGCCTAAATTTTATGGCAAGCATACCAAAAATGACAGGGACCTAGTGTTCAATTTAAAGACAACTTTGACACATTGTGTCAGTGCCACAGCCTGGCTCCTGGGGTGGAGTTCAGAGCCCTTTGTCTTGTTTCCTACCTAAACTTTCTCTACTGTGAAGAGAGACTTCAAAGCAGAAATGTGCTGCTTGGGAACCCACCCAAGATAGCCAACATGAAATGTTCATGGAAAAAACATTTCAGGAAACCTTTTCAGGAAGTTAGGCACCCAAACACTGGGCACTTTGAGAGTTAGACTCCTAAATAATTTCTTCAAAAATAAAACTGGGTTTTTTAAGAAAGAAAACAAAAGCAGGAAGAGGAGCAGTACAAATCCATCTCTCTTTTATATATAACTCAGTAGTGAAAACAATCACCCCAGCAGTAAAAAACCTGGGTTCTAGCCCCTCCTCTACCTGAAGGTGGTTCAAAAGGAGTATTTAAGCATGTTATCCAATAATTGTTTAACCAATGATATAGCATAAATGTCCTTTTAATAAAGGACCAGAATCCATATCTCCCCTAAGGCAAATGCCTTAATCCCAAGAATAAATCTTCAATTCTTTTTGACAAAGTGTCTCACCTGCAACCAGAGAGTTGATGCCTCTGTTCCCACCCCAACCACCTCCAAAAAAAAAAAAAAAAAAAGTCTACAGCTGACTCCTAGAAAGTGATGGGAGTTTGCAGCCCCTCCAGTTGAGAAAATCCTAAAATCCATGTCCCTACATACGGGGTGAGTGCTCTAACAAGTGACTTATTGTACAAGAGCGGTGAGTCACTAGTCCCTTCCCTTCATCTTCCTTTTTTATTTCTAAATAAAAAGTGGCCATGTTTTCTGTGTAAAATAGACATCTGAGTAAATTAAGCATCCATGGAGCATGCCTAGCAGATTGGGATTTGAGAGACTTAGGTACAGGATTTAGGTGTAAGTCCTAATTTGAAGACACTAGTCAGGTCCAGGTATGAGTAAGGAGCCAGGTACAACTTTGCTCCCTGCCCCACCTCCAAAAAAAAAAAAAAAAAAAAAAAAAGAGTCCTGGAGTTCTGGGAGTACAACAAAGCAGAGCATTAGGCATTTAAGGAACTTGAAAGAATGAAGGAATCTATATTTTTTACAGTGAGGTACCTACAAGATTAGGATCATATCCCTGGCCTTAAGTATGTAAATCTTTCCTAACTCCCTCTTTGCACGCCTGACTGCTTTTGTGAATCTCAAGTCTAGTTCCTAGGAAGTGGGGTACCTTCCAATGTCCCAGTGAAAATCAGTTTAAATAAGCAAAACTAGCAAGGCTTGAAAAACAGAAGAAATCAAAAGAACTAGTCATCTCACCTTCCAAAGAAATCTGAACCAGGCTGTAACACACATATCACATTTGGCTTCATATTTTAAAAATCCCATGAAGAGTAGTTTCTACTAACTGCAGATTTCCACACATTTGTTACATTCTCAACTAAGTATGCATACACTGAAAATTTTACTTACTTATACCTAGCTATAATAATCATATCATGTTTTACATTTTTAAAACAAAAATGATAGAAAAAAAATATTGCAACTAAAGTGCAGAACACACATACCAATGCTAATTTCATCATCAGTTTCAGCATCTCCAATACACTCAAACTGAAAATCTTGAAGAGACTGGGAAAATTTTTGTACTGCCATGGATAAATCTACAATAAAAAAAAACACACAAACAAGATGTTAAATTATTTGGAATAACTATATCAAAGAGTGTACAGAATTTTACATACCTATTTTATTTACAAGAAATCCTAGTATCCTTTTTGAAAAGTAATCTCACACAAAATAAAAGCAGAATGCTGACCATTCAGACCAGCTCCAAAAGCTAATGAAAAAAATATATTAAATTCCTGATCCCAAGCACAATAAAGAGAACTACATTCACGCTGACAAACAAATATCAGTTCTCTTAACTTCCTTAAAGAGAAGAAATTGATACGGGGTCTGAAGCTTTACACTGGCAGCAGCACAATGTAAGCAAGCAAGGATACGTACATAAGGGCCACAGAACTGGACTCAATCAGTACTAGGGTAGTATCTTAATATATTTCTTCCAGACCTCCGTCTCTATAGAATATACAATTAATGTAGAATATTCTGCAGATTTTTTTTAAATAAGGAAATGAAATATGTATGTTTTCAGCCATTTGCCACTCAACTAAAAGGCCCACAGATAAAGAACATTGTTTTTGAGTCACATCCACAGATCTTCAGTTTCAATCAAGTTAAAACTTAACAGCAAAAAGTTTGATCTTAATGGTAGGCATGTTCTAGTACAAAGTATTCATAAATATGGATGACCAAAACACTCTCAAAAATTCTTCAGAAAAATACATGAAGGTGAGCACACCTATATTAAAACAAGATGAATCACAGTTGTGTCAGTCTAGACAAAATGCTGCATAACATTTATTCTCTATAGTCCCTGGAACATATTAGGAGTATCAATGTGGAAGCTAAAAAATGAGGAGAAAAATATAGATTCATATCTGAAAAACCTAGAAAAAAAAAGCTTCAGTATGGACAGGAAATTAGTCAAAACCTATATGACCATTTTTCCAAAAGCATCACTGGTACATTTAAATCTGATTACAAAGCCCCAGAGAGTTTTATGCTTCTAAAATTACATGCATTTATTAAGTGCATACAAGGAGCTCCTAATTATATAGTATGTGAAATACAAACAGATCTTCTTCTGATGAAATCTAGAATATAAATGCATGGATAATATTGGCATGAGTTCTCAAATTTTCTCCATACATCAGTTAATTTTGAGGCTGAAATATACAGAATATATCACTATGTTCAGTGAAAACAGTGTGCACAAAGTTTTAGACAGTTACAAATCAGGAACAAACAATGCCCTACCAGGATGCTGCCCCCTATTCATGCTCTGTATCTACTTCTTTCTTACTGGCCTCTGGCTATCAGGCATCAAATTAATCAAATGACACCCCTTATCTCAACCTCCCATTATTCATTAGCTTTTACTTGAAGCATTGTTGTGCACCAGTCCAAAAAAGAATTAAGACTCTTTTAGAATATCCAGAGATGAAAATAATTATTTTTTCCATGACATGGTTATCTGATACATAGCTGTATTGTGTTTATCCACGAAAGTAGTTTTTGGTAAATAAGGGAGAAAAGAGTTTGGAGACTAACCAATCTTTCATTTGGATATTATTTGTCCCTAATGGCAAGTCATTTACTCTCCTAGGAGAATTTGGTTGAAATTTAACCCCCCCTCCCCCCCAAAAAAACTACAAAAGTTTTTAAATAAGTATCTGTCCTGATCTTATAACATTTTTCAAAAATGGGAACTGCAGTTGCTATGAAGTAAGACATGCCAATAAATCAGAATTATCAACCAGTATGTATACTCTTTAAAACCAAAATTTGGAAAAGCAATTTTCTTGAAACTTTTATCTTTTTGTACCTGTAGTCCAACTATAAGGGGTTTTTTTTACTATTATTCCAGCAGAAAACACCACTGTTTGCGTTTCCTTTCAATGAACATAAGCAACTTAAGAAAGTTTTCCCAGATGTGAAGTCTCATAATCTTACTCTTATAAATTCAGCTTCATCTTCTTTGACTGACTCTCCGCCATAACACACTGGCATTTGTAGCTTCAAGAGTACAAATTGAATTACTGTTACTAACAACAGAGGCTCATCTAGTAGTCCCCAGATATTTTGAGCTACTGTACTATCTTCATAATGTTCTGTGCAACGTATGTTTTCTATTAAGAAAGGCAGAGTTAAATATACACTTGTGAATGTGCTGTACACTTAGCGAATGTGTCTTATTCTTAGGTATATGGAATTTATCTAGCATTAGTAATGTATTATTTTAACAACTTAGATGTTCTGCTTTGTATACCTGAAAGTAGAGCTTCTGTAGTGGAAGAAGCAAAAAATAATCTACGTAAAAGCTAAATCATATTACCCTTTGGTGTCATCTTTTAAACTCTTTGCTATATAATATTAGGAGTCAACTGTACTGTGGCTAGTAGGAGCAAATCACAGTGGGAGTGTGGTCATGGAAGAGCAAGGGACAAGAAAAATTAATGGCTTCTTTTTAAGCCCTCCATAAAAGAGTTACATGCAAACCAACAGCCTAACCTCCTATGAAGCTTAATGTTTTTAAAGACCTTGTCACACGGGACACTTAGTATGCATTAATCTATGCAGCATTAAAAATTAGAAAGTGTGCTGAGCAGTCACACAGTAATGTTTACTATGTGCACGTTTGAGGTCAGCTTGTTGATTGTCAGCCCCAGGCCCCACACTGCACAGGAGTCTTGAACCAGCTCCAGTGCAGTGCCAGGTAAGGGACCAACAATCAGCCAACTGCTGGTCCCAACCCCAGGATCCTCTGTCACTGCAAGCAGCTGTCTTTCAACTTGATCTTGGAGGAGACTGACAAGTGAAAGATCTAGGATCCTTCCTCCAGACATGTGTGGCTTTCCTCATTCAGCCTGGAGGCTTGGTACATCAGAGCGAGCTCTGGCTGATTTCATGGTTGGGCAAGGACCACAAATTGCTCGTGTGATTTCTATAGAGCAATCCATTGGTAGATGAACATGTATTACTTAACATGATCTGGTACTCCTCGCACAAGAAATCATAACCTTGCTATGATATGAGCACGCTTAGCATGTTTTACTACTTGAAGGCACAGTTGCTCATGTTTTAAGTGCATTTAACACATTCTAAGTATAACGTGAGACATGGCCCAAAAGGAACAAGGTTCTAAAAAGACACAACTATATGAATAACATATGTACGTAACAATCAATTGCCATTGCAAAGAGAACAATTATACTAAATCTCTGACTTGGGCATTAACTCACTATTTGAACTGTACATAAGTTTGGGACCAAATTGTGACCAGCTGTGTGGGTGTACCAGGGAGGGAAAAGGTATGTAGAATGTCCCCCACCCTTCTTTCCCCAACAGAGCCATAGGTAACAGGTAACTCCCATGTAAATTAAAAGAAGATTAGTAGTAAGGTACAAAATGGGCACTGCTCTACACTAAATCCTGGTTTAGTTACAGCCACACAATAATTATTTCAATGTCTCAGTTGATCTGAATTCAAAATGAATGATTGTGAGAAAGGGATAGGCAAAAGGGAAAGAAAAAGCTGAAAGATCAGAGCCATTGCTTTCCTAGGAATTCAAGAAGATGATGTTTCTATCAGCAACTTACCTTTTAAAAGACATTTACAGTCTGAAGACCATGGCTGCTGCTGCAGCTGGAGCAATGGGGGAAGTGACACCTGGATAGGGGGCTGGGGGCAAAAATTAACTTGTTGCAGGCCACATGCAGCCTACAGGTCACCAGCTGCACAGCCCTGAGAGAAAAGCACTGAAAGAATATCATGCCTGAATTTGGTTTGCTAAACCAATAAATCAATTTAATACATAAATGAAATACTGACTACAGAAATACTTTCAGTTTCTGTTCTGCAGAAAAGCTTTTGCCATACAGTAATTGCACTGGTTCTAGATCAGCGACTGGGCAGGGAGATTATTTTTTACATGACTAGTACAAAGTTGAGAAACCGACTAGGTACTGAAAAAGCAGAAAAGATGCATTTTATTCATAGATTAGAAAAGGAAATAATTTTTAAAAGGATGAGATCTACTAATTCAAAATCCTAAGGGACATAATGCTAAATTTTCAAAGATATTTAAGCACTTAGGCTACATACAGGCATTCAGGAAGCCAGCAGCAGAAGGGTTCTATCTTTGGAGCTTTACTCTAAGTGTCCCAATTAGGTATGAAGGAAGCAGAACACACTTTGTCTCAGAGGAGGGAAAAATATGGCTTGTGGGCCAGATCCGACCCATGGGAGGCATCCACCAATTGATTCGATCAGGCCCGCAGCTGCCCCCACAGTGCTCTGCATGAGGCCAAGCCCTGCCTACAGCAGCCAGCACTGCGCTCCTGCCCACACCCACCCGTCCTACCTTAGCTAGTGCACACAGCTTCCCGACAGGGCTGCTCCCAGTACAGCTGTAGCTGCTTGGGTACTTCTCGGCTCCTCCTCCTCCTGGCCCCGCTGTGGTGCTCTGGGTCGGGGGGGAAGTTGCAGCCAGGCGGCTCCTGCCCAGCACATGAGGATCTACCTGTGGACAGCTGAGTTGGAAGGCAGCAGGGATTTGGAGCTGGAGCCCTGCACAGAGACTCATAACAGGCTGCGCAACTTGCACACACTATCCTCTGCACTCTCCAGCATTAGATCAGAGTGATATAAGACAGACCCTAACCCAGGTGTGGGCAATTACGGCTGGCAGGCCACTTAATGAGTTTTGGTGAGCTGTCGAGGGCCGCACACAAAATCTTTCAGAAAATATCATTTTAACCCATTACAGATTAAAAAAAAACAAACCATATACTAAAAATCACACTTCTACTACAACACATTTTATTTTTATTTCAAAAAATATATTTGTGATTTTTTTTTTTAGTAGTGTATATAGAGATGATTATATAATAGCTCAAAATAAAGTCTTGCTCTTGTATATTGTGTGTTGTTGTGTGTTGGGGGTGTGGAGGGGTGGTGGGAGAGGTGAGGTGGGGGATAGGTGTGTGCATGTGTTGGGGGTGCTGCCCACATGCTAGGTCCTGGAAGCCAGCTAGT